AACCCGCAAGGTTTCCAAGGTCGATTTCGTGCCCGTCCAGTGCGGGCTGGCATGGCATGCAAGAACATGATAACATGATGTTTGCACACGTTAGGTCCTCTCGCACACGTTCTGACAAGTCCACGTCACACTCGCTTCTCGTTAGGTCCTCTCCTGCAACTCCCTTCCTGCTCCCTCCTCCTCCTCCTCCTCCTCCTCCTCATCCTCCTCCTCCTCCTCCTCCTCCTCCTCCTCCTCCTCCTCCTCCTCCCCCTCCTCGTGCCTTCACCTCCTCTTCATCCCGAACGGCATCTCGGAGCCCAGAGTTGCGAGGATGTCTCCAGCGTAACGGGCTGGACCACCTCGCGCGCGGCATCTCGGACCCCAGAGTTGCGACGATGTCTTGTGCGAAACGTGCTGCGAGGAAGTCTCAGGCGAAACGGGCCGGACCACCTCGAGCGCGGCGTCTCAGAGCTCCGAGTTGCGGGGCCTCCTGGGGCCTCCTGGGGACCTCCTGGGGCTCCCTCCTGGGCCTCCTGTGGCCTCCTGGACCCCACCTGGGGCTTCCTGAAGCCTTTTGGGGCTCCCAGGGGGGGGTATCTAACATGTGGCCGTCTGGGTCCCCCCCAAATGCCACAAGATCCGGAAAAATCAACGAATTGACACCGGAGGTGTATTATCTTGACACGTTCTGATAAGGGGGCCTCCTGGGGCCTCCTGGGAGCCTCCTGGAATCTCCTGGGGACCCCTGGGGCCTGTCCTGGGCGTCCTGCGGCCTCCTGAAGCTCTCTGGGGCCTCCTGGGGCTTCCAGAGCCCCAGGGGGGATATGTAACATGTGGTCTTCTGGGCCCCCAGGCTGGACCACCTCGCGCGCGGCATCTGGGAGCTCAGAGTTGCGAGGATGTCTTGTGCGAAACGGTTCGGACCACCTTGCGCACGGCATCTCAGACCTCAGAGTTGCGAGGATGTCTCAGGCGAGACGGGCTGGACCACCTCGCGCAGGGCATCTCAGAGTTCAGAGTTGCGAGGATGTCTCGGGCGAAACGGGCTGGACCACGTCGCGCGCGGCATTTCCGAGGTCAGAGTTGCGAGGATGTCTCAGGCGAAATGAGCTGGACCACCTCTTGCGCGGCAGCTCAGAGCTCAGAGTTCCGAGGATGTCTCAGGCGAAATGGGCCAGACCACCTCGCGCTCGGCATCTCAGAGCTCAGAGTTTCGAGGGAGTCTCAGACGAAACGGGCCGGACCACCTCTCGTGCAGCATCTCGGAATGCAAAAGTGCGAGGATGTCTCAAGTGAAACAGGCCAGACCACCTCTTGGGCGGCATCTCGGGGCTCAGAGTTTGGAGGATGTCTCAAGCGAAACGGGCCGGACCACCTCTCGCGCGGCATCAGAGAGCGCAGAGTTGCGAGGATGTCTCAGGCAAAACGGGCCGGACCACCTCGCGCACGGCATAATTATCAGGGCTCAGAGTTTGGAGGATGTCTCAGGCGAAACGGGCTGGACCACCTCTTGCGCGGCATCTCGGAGCCCAGAGTTTGGATGATGTCTCAGGCGAAATGGGCTGGACCACCATTTGCGCGACACCTCAGAACTCAGAGTTCCGAGGATGTCTCAGGCGATTCGGGGCCTCTTGAGCCGTCTTCGAGCGTCGGAAGCTCGAAAAGTCGATGGTTCCGAACAAAAATCAAACAACCGGCGGAAAATGATTTTGGCGTTCCGGGGCCTGTTGGGAAGGCTCCTTGGGCTCTCTGGGGCACCTCGAAGGCTTCGTGGGCCGTCTTAGGGGCATCTTGGGTCCGATCGTGTGGCGATTCGAGTCCCTCTTGGAACGTCTGGGTGGCCTCCTGGGGCTCTCTTGGCCCGTCTTGGGGCCTCCTGGAGCCAGACAAGGCTATGCGAGAATACTCGACTCGCCAAAGGGAAAGCGCACAGCCGTGAATTTCGGGTCCGGGTCCCTTGAGAATCTTCAAGATTGAGGACTGAGGCTTAAGAGATGAGGGCAAGGACCTGAGAACACTCCAATTCGTGCCGCACGGGCACGGTGGCGAATATCCATGTCCATGAGGAGCAGTGATTCACGTTTTTCCCGAAGGGGAAGAACTGGGTTGGGAGAAGAAGCGCTCCAAACCACTCACGCCCGGAGGGCTGGTGGGATTTCACTACGTCCACTGGCGCCCCTGGGCTGCGCACGCGTCTCGGCCATACTTTGCAAACCCCGTTTCGGACGCCCCCGGTGCGATTCCCTGGGGCCGTGCAGGAGGGAAGCCTTCGAGGAACGCACGGAGGCACGGAGACATTTCCAAGGCCATGCGCACCCGAACAAACTTTACAAATGCTTTCTGCGAGGCGGACGCCCTCTGATCAGGGGCGCCGAGGCGAGGGGCCAGTCGCCCACTCATCGCCGATCTGGGCTCGGGTGCAATCCTGCCTGGGAGCTTGCGATGTCACTGTCGGGCCCCTGTCGCCGATCTGGCGTCATTGATTCCAGACCAGGACCAGACTAACCGGGGTCGCTCCCAGAGCAGGTCCCCACACGGTCGGTCCTCCCTGGGGCTTCCGAAAAGACGGCCCGTTGGACCCTGCCCATCCCCGTCTCCCCGCCGCCTAGGCCGGCTTGTCATCCTCGTCGAATCCCCTCCCCTCATCGGCCGCCTGGTAGCCCGAAGACGGCCTATGACGGCTCTCCCCGAGGGCCGAGAAAGGCGACAAATCCGTCTTGAGTTTCGGCCGAGGCACTGGAGGTCCCTCGAAATCGATGGCCGTATAATTTGTTTCCTGGAAGAAAATGGGCCCTAAAATTCTTCACAGTTGCCAGCTTTTTGGAAGCGTGGAAGAGACCACGCCACTGCCAGCTTTGCCCAGGTTGTAATCCGTCCGTTTCTAGTGGTTGTGCCCAGTCCGACATACGTGATGGGAGTCTCATAGCAGTCAGTCTGATTCTTTCTGGGCCCTCGACGGGCCTCGGGGACGTCCAAAAGGGGCCCGAAAGGGCCCCTGTGAGGGCCCTTCTCTTCCCCCCCATTTAACGTCGCGCCGCATCGCCGATGCATCGACGATGCGGCGCGATGTGGAGCCCGTGTTTCCCCACGCCGAGGTCACCGATGCCTTGCAGACGTCGCCGATGCATCGCCGATACCTCGGCGATGCATTGGCGATTCGGCGCGATCCTTCGACCCCATCTACTCGGACCCTATCTAGGAGGCCTCCAGTGAAAGATGTTGGCCTCTCGAGGGCGATCCCGGGATGCTCCGACGCCACTTGGGGTCGTCTGGGGCCTTGGGGCCCCTTGGAGGCTCTCGGCAGGCCTCGCCTGTGGCGCGCCTCGCCTTCGGGGCGTTCTCTGGCGTAAAATCGGGTATGTGCCTCGACAGGAGGAACATTCGAGAATAGTGTGAAAGATGATTTTGAGGATGTGTCATGCTTTTGGGGCTAACTTTTGTCATTACCTAACAGCGAAGACTGATAGGTTTCTAGTGGGGTCAAAAGAGAGCATCATGACTCCCCAGGGGGGTCTGGGCAGATGCCGGACGGGTGCCGCAGAAAACCGGGGACTCTTTTTTTAGCCAAGAGTAGCGCACTTCGTGGTCTTCGAGTTCCCAGAACTCCATTCCTGGGCATCATTTTGAATGCCCGGAGCCAACTGTTGGCCACTTCGTGTTCCTCGAGTTCCCAGAACTCCGCTCCTGGGCATGATTTGGAATGCCCGGAGCCAACTGTAGGCCACTTCGTGGTCTTCGAGTTCCCAGAACTCCATTCCTGGTCATGATTTCGAATGCCCAGAGCCAACTGTAGGCCACTCCGTGGTCTTCCAGTTCCCAGAATTCAACTCCTGGGCATGATCTTGAATGCCCGGAGCCAACTGTAGGCCACTTCGTGTTCTTCGAGTTCCCAGAACTCCATTCCCGGGCCACATTTTGAATGCTGAGGCAGGCTGATACTGAGGCTGAGGCAGGCTGAGGCTGAGGCCGAGGCTGAAGGCAGACTGAGGCTGAGGCTGAGGCAGGCTGAGGCTGAGGCTGAGGCAGGCTGAGGCTGAGGCTGAGGCAGGCTGATGCTGAGGAGGCTGAGGCTGAGGCTGAGGCTGATGCAGGCTGAGGCTGAGGCAGGCTGAGGCTGAGGCCGAGGCTGAAGGCAGACTGAGGCTGAGGCTGAAGCAGGCTGAGGCTGAGGCTGAGGCTGAGGCTGAGGCTGAGGCTGAGGCTGAGGCTGAGGCTGAGGCTGAGGCTGCAGGCTGAGGCTGAGGCTGAGGCTGAGGCTGCAGGCTGAGGCTGAGGCAGGCTGAGGCTGAGGCCGAGGCTGAAGGCAGACTGAGGCTGAGGCTGAAGCAGCTGAGGCTGAGGCTGAGGCAGGCTGAGGCTGAGGCTGAGGCTGGCTGAGGCTGAGGCTGAGGCTGAGGCTGAGGCTGATGCAGGCTGAGGCTGAGGCTGGCTGAGGCAGAGGCCGAGTTTGCAGGCAGACTGAGGCTGAGGCTGAAGCAGGCTGAGGCTGAGGCTGAGGCAGGCTGAGGCTGAGGCTGAGGCAGGCTGAGGCAGAGGCAGGCTGAGGCTGAGGCTGATGCAAGGTGTCTGGCTCAAGGTGTCTGGCTCAAGGTATAGGGGCATTCACAAAGTGAACGCCCCTGCCATAAGCGAGACACCGAAGACAACTATCGGTTTTTCATTCCGCATGCTCTCACATTCCCATCCCCACTCAATCGATTATCATTTACTTCTGGGTGCTCGTATCTTGTGCTACTTTGTGCTCAGAGATGCCCGCGAAGAAGCACCATATGGGGACGCCTGATAAACCCAAGAAGGAAGCGCGTGTACATAGCCCGCTTAATGAGATGGACGATACACTGGCTGGCGAAATGGCTGGGGCAGGAACAGGATCTCAGGGAGAAGGGGAAGGTAAGGGACAGGAGGTCGAGGGAAGGGGTGGAACCATGATCGAGATGATGAGGGTCATGATGAAGGACTTGAAGGCCATTAAAGTAGATATGAGGAACATGACACAGGATAACAATAAAGCACTCCAGGTTGCGAAGGAGGCGAAGGACTTGGCGGTCGCAGCGAAGTTGGCGGCTCTGGAGGCGAGCCTCAGCAGCAGCAGCAGCATGGATGATAAAATCACAAAGCTGCAGGAGTCCGCCATCACGAAGGAGGAGGCCACCACGATTGTCGAAAAGCTGAAGAAAGAGTTGGTGGGGATCTGTAGTACCGGGAACGGGGGGAAACCCCAACAGGGCTACGAGAACACCGATCACAAAGATAGTTTGACTGTGGTGATCGGGAACGTGCCAGAAGCCGATACTATTGACAAAGCAAAAGAATGGATAAACCAACGCTGTCAGTCAGTAGGTTGGCCTATCCCGTTCGAGGCGTACCACAAAGGGGATATCTACAACAAGATCGCCTTCGTCAAGTGCCCGTCAGTATCTTACCGGGACGCGCTCATCAGAGAAATCCGCAAATCCGTGGCAGGCTCAACCGGGCAACCTTGGGCAAACATAGATCTTCCGTTTGGGAAGCGTACGGCAGAAAACGCACTGTTCGCATTTAAGCACATGCTAGTGGATTGGGGGTACGGGAAGAAGGAGGTGGAGGTAGACAAGGACAGGCAGATTCTCCAGGCGGCGGGGAAGACATTGTCAAGGTTGTGGTGCACGAGTTCTTTTCAAAGTTCGAGTGGTGCAATGGCGACTGGGAGCATTGGGAGGCTCTGCGGCAGTCTGCAGAACTTGGTTCACTGACCACCAAGATCCAGTCCAAGCTCGACAAGGAGAAGGAGCTGACCACCAAAGGGGGCAAGGGGAAGAAGGGCAAGGGGCAGCCCCCCAAATGACAAACACAGTATTCTCCAGAGGTTTCACCAGCAGTCGGCCATACTGCAATTATGAACAATCGTATGGGAATTCACTCGTGCACGACTTCTTCCTTAGATCCGGCAGTCGGATATACTTCGTCTCGTATATCTTCAACTCTATTGGGACAACCCGGGAATCTCCGAGGCGGAGGACACGTTTTCGAGGACGACTGGCAATCGCAAAAGCACATACAATCAAAAACAGCACAAGAACATCACCAACTCCAGTATTATTTAATCGCTTCGCTCATGCCGCCGGCCCTGGAGCCCTCTTTAGGGCCTCTTGGGGGCCTCTTGGGGACCTCTTGGGAGTCTCTTGGGGCTCCTTGGCGGCGTTTTGGAGACCCCCAGGGCCTCTTGGGGGGCTCTTGGGGGTAGTCGATTGCGGCTCCCCCTTCGGAGGCCACGATCCTCGTGAGGGTTGTCGAAAAATACCCTCCCCAGGAGTGGTCTGGTGGCTTCTCCCGGGCTTCTCTCGGGACCTTGCCGGGGCACTTTTCGTCCGGGGGCCCCCAAGGGCCGCTCCGCGCGCGCGAACTAGAAATATTGTTAACAAGTTACCGGAGATCTTAGCACGCCTCTGGCCCGTTGGGCCGGCGAATTATCCCCTATCGTTTTCTCCATGCTTGGCTGGAGAGGCGGGAGGGCCACCGACGTTAGCTGCACCTTCGATCAGGGTGGTGAGAGGGGGTGGACGGGGAAAGTATCGCTTTGTTGATGGAGATTTTCCCGATTGGATATGTTCAATCCCGTAGGACATCGACTGAGATAGGCTTCCCGCCGCAAGCGGGACCATCACGACCAGCATCGCCGGGGACAACGCCTCCAGACGCTGGTACAGG